GGGTTACAACCATGTGGCTTAAGTTCTATTTCAACCAGTGTCCAAGAGAGAACATGCTAGGCTATCACACCTGAACCTTTTTAAAATCTTGCTTATAAAAGCAAGATTTCCATGTTGATTTAATTTTATACTTCCTTTCTATTACATGCTTTGCTTTAATTTTTCTACTTTGTTCTGTATATAGCAGAGACTGGTGACAATACTATCATTATAACCAATGTTCTCCTTTTCATATTTTGCCTATATTTTTGCATTACACAGATCTGTCATATATTATAGAAAGCTTTTGGTAAAGTTAGAGTGAACCATTTACTTGAGCATGTCATTCAAAGGTGGGCAATGTTCTAATTTATTAACAGATGCAGTCCAGGGTTGGTGTCAATTAAAACTTCAGTGAGTTGACAACTACATGGCAGTCTCTCTGTTAAGCAAGCAAATTGCCTCAGTTTATATGCAACTTCCCAAAAAAGCCTTTTGTTCTAGAGATACCTTTCCTGCTCTGATTATGGCTCAATGGCTGAAGAATTTTGAATTATTAGGGCTGTTGCAGCATAAACAATATTTAAAGAAGATATAAGGAGAACAAGGTACCTTGTTCAGTAGAAGCTCAAATAAGAACAGCTTTACCAACCAGTTGAGGGAGGGGATTGTCCCACTCTGCTCTGCACTGGTGTGGCCTCACCTTGAATCTTGTGTGCAGTTTAGGGCATCACAATACAAAAAAGACATTAAACTGTTAGCATCCAAAGGAAGGCAATGCATCTCTTGAAGGACCTTGAGGGGAATGATACTTGGAGYAGCTGGATTCACTTGGTCTGTTCATCCTGAAAGAGATAAGGAGAGACTCCACCGCAGTCCGCAACTTCCTCAGGAAGGGAAGGACAGGGGCAGACACTGATATCTTCACTCTCATGACCAGTAGCAGGACTCAAGGGAACAGCCTGAAGATATGTCAGGGGAGATTTAGGTTGGTTATTAAGCACATGTTCTTCACCTAGAGGGTGGTTGGGCACTGGAACAGGGTCCCCAGGRAAGTRGTCACAGCACTAAGTCTGACASAGTTCAAAGAGTTTGGACACTGCTATCAGGCACATGGTGCGATTCTTGGGGCTGTCCCGTGCAGCATCAGAGGTTGGACTCAGTGATCCTTGTGGATCTCTTCTAATTCAGGATATTCTACTGTTCTATGATTCAAAATACTTCACACATGGTACTGTTAGGTAATGGCACATCATTTGGTCTCTGTGACACCAGGAGGAAGCTTGGCTATGGCCACAGTTGGATCATTTAATGCGGCTGCCACCCTATGCTCAGTCTATAGACAGGAAAGACAGGCTGATCTCAAGGCTACAAGGCATATTCCAGCTCTCTGGGATTAACAGCCTTGGTGGTTTGCTGGGCTTTAACACACACACTTTTATTTTGCACAGCTGTAACTTCACTTAGCAGGCATTGCACTGACAGGTAAAAATGAGGAAACAGGCACCTTCTGATACTGAGCAGAATTCCTTCCTTCATGACAGGGCTGTAACAAGGACAGTGCAGCTGTCTACCCTCATGCAGACTTCYCCGTTAGCAAAAACCACGTCCATTAGCAACCCTTTCTAAGAGGCTGCTCAAAGCAGATGTTGTGGCTCCTTCTACCTCTTCTGCACAATACACCATGTGGTTGCTCATCACTCTCTATGGTAAAAATCTCAGTCTTCACTCCAGGCAATTTTACTTTTTGGACCTCAGGTAATGCATCAATTGACAAACCTCTTGTCTTACCTTGTACTAAGACTTTACATCTCCAGCCTAATTTGCTGCAGCTTTTTGCAGAGAGGAAGGATGCAAATTTTGGTCACACACTGGTCACACAGTTCGCTCAGAGAAGACAAGAAGCAACAGGTGCAAATTGAAATTCAAAATCCATTTGAATAGGAGAAAAAAGATCCTCTTTTAATGTGAGGTTGGTCAAACACTGGCACAGGCTGTCCTGAGAGATTGTGAAGTCTCCACCCACAGAGATACTCAAACTCCAACAGGACACAGCCCTGAGCAGATGGCTGTCACTGACCCTGATTGGAGTATGGGGGTTGGACCACACATTTCCAGAGATCCCCTCCATTCAGAGTTTCCTGCCCTTTTCACAGTTGATGCTACAAGTAATGTTTGAGTGATATTTAAGTAGATATCAAAATGGCTAGGTTCACCTTATTCACTGCAGAGAAATAAATTTATTCTGGTGGAGTAGCAAAATAATTCCCATTATTCAAAAGAGGAAACAAATTATATAAAGTTTACAAGAGAAATAAGATTATTGTTTTTACAGCAACTTACCTGCTAAATATAAAGCTTCTATACCAGAACATAGTTCTGGTGAACTATGGTCACCATAGAAGGTGAGCTAATATTAAGAATATGTCATAAGCACCAATTCCTAAAAAACTATTTTCACTGAAGACACCAAATTTTTTTAGCTGCRGGAATGTACAGAGCCACCAGAAGTATAGATTGAAAAATGCATGAAATAAGTCTTCTACTTTCCTCAGAATTAGGAAGGCTGCAAATAGAGTAATACATTCWTTTTGGGGTACCGAACTGGGGCATGAAAGAAGATGTGGACCATTTGGAAAGGGCTGAGAAGAGAGACAAAATACTGATTTTAGATGTGTAAAMCAAAATCTATCGTTAGAATGCCAATATGGTTGATACAAATGAGTCTGTGGTTGCAGACCCTGCAGGAGAACTCTCCTGAGAGACACATCTGAGGGGAACTGGTCGAAGCACGATCCTGAGAATGCCTGGAGAGCCCAGCTTGCAGCACAAGCTAACTTAAGGATTGAAATGCACAATCTCACAAAGCAGAAGTTCTRCTGAGAAGGTTAAAACAGACACATGCCACTGATATGATGGAATAATGCAATGGTGCTGACTAGATTAAGAAAGAATGATGCAATTCACAAAATACACTGAGAAAGTGACATCATTGATAAGACTGAGAAAAGCATTGTCAGGTCAAAAGAAGGGACAGGATATCAATTGCCAAAGCCTACAAACGATACACAGTCAGAAGGAGAAAGAAGACTTGAGGACATTTCTGTAAAAACATTGAGGGAGCTATAAAATGTGGTCAATGGAAATCAGCAGGTAATAGGAATTACCAAAAGGTGTGAGTGGATACTTGTGTATCCACTCATCTAGTTAATAGGATCATCTAGTTAATAGGATCATAGATACGGTCTTGTCCTTAACCATCTCATTTATGTAAGACATATATTAATGCAGAACTACTGGCATCAGTAGTGAGAAATGGAAGTGACACAATGGCAATGGTCTTTGAATAGCCAAGAGGCCATTCTCTGAGTACGAAAGATGGCAAAACTAAAATAACACAAGACACTGAACTGCAATAAGATAGACACCAGGATAACATCAGGGTAATAATGCACAAGACCGGATTCCTTGTGGAAGCTGTGGAATCTAACAGTGCAGGTTTGAAATGGCAGCTTGGACAAATACTTATCACAAAAAAAATAAGTCACATAGAACTGACCTCCTTTAGGAATAGAGGCAATGCAGGTGAACTTTTGAAATCTGGTCCCAGCTCTTTTTACTATGATTTTATGGCTGTAGCAAATGTTAGCATAAACACTCTCAATTTATTTTGATCATACAAGAAGCATGCTTCAAGGGAGATGTCACAATGGCAAACTATGGCAATCCACAAAAATTAGCTTAACAATGTTATAAATTACTTTAAATTGCTAGAACTCAGCAGAACACTGAAGCATAGTTCCTGGGACTTACAGACTTTAGATCTGAGGACACAAACCACCCAAATCCTGAAGTCCTGAGGAAACACAAAACCAGCTCAATGACACCTTTAACTACAGAATAACCCCAGAAAAAAAAACCAAACAACTCAGGGAGGGATGTGCTGCAGGACAGTGCAAACTCTTGTACATCCCAAATAAAGCAAGGCATCTCTAATTTCCTCTTCAGGAAAAAACTGTTAATGGAGATTTCCTGAAAAATCAAATACATATACCTCAGTGTAAGTTTCACTTGTAAAGGGAGACTGATGTGAAYTGAATATACCATTACTAAGATTTAGTGATCTCATTTGTCAGTGATAACTGCACACGGATTGCCCGTCTTTAACTAAAGCAAGCTCCGTTCCTCCAAGGCTTTTAGCTGTCTGCAGCTGCCTGAATGAAGCCTTTCTGTAGACACCTATGGGCTCCCTGGGGTGCTTATGTCAGTTCCTGCTGCTATCCCTTTTCATCTTAATGTGCACCTGTCAGACCGCTCAGAATTTCTATTCAGTATCCCCTTCCCCCAAGGGAATAAACTTGGTTTTATTCACAGGTGAAATAAGCTGTGCTCACTGACTTMATGGTTCTGCCTTGAAAACCCTGAAGCACAAAAACCTGAGTGGTTTGAAATCCAGTCTTTCCAACTTGTACACTTTGCAGCTGGACACCACAAAAYCTATGAATGGTTCTTGCTAAGACCAGTCGACCTCACAAAGGGCTTTTCTGAGTGTACAGCCTATGAAACCTCCAGAACCAAGATTTGCTATAAGATTTCTCAGAATTTAAAGACATACAGAGAGATTGCTTAAAGCTTTCGGCTTTGGATGCGACTGGTCGCTCACAAAGTCTGCCACTGCATCCCGAAACCAAGTTGATCCGAGCAGGCGAATGACACCGGCGGAGAGCATCCCGGTGCCCGCTGCCCTGCCCGTCCCCAGCGCCGGCCGGGCTGCCCGGTGCTTCTGGGGCGCTCCCGGAGCTCAGCGCTTCCCGCGTGTGGTGCGCCCGCGGCAGCGCCTCTTTGTCAGGAAAAAGGCAAAAAAAAAAAAAAAAGGGGCAGTGAGGAGATAGAAGCATGCCCGGCACCGGCACGAGCCCGCTGTGAACTCGGGAGCCGGCGAGGAGAGGAATCCCGCATCCCCGGGCCCCCAGCCCTGGCCGCGCCGCCGCCCCTCGGTCACCGCCCGTCCCGCCGCTCACCGATAGTAGAAACGACGGTGCCCACGAAGTAGAAAGCGCCGGTGAAATCCCATCGGGGCCGGATGTCATCGACGCGGATGCCGGCCACGCTCGCCTCCTCGTATTCTCGGAGGAAGTGCCGGAGCTCGGCACGGCTGAGGTTGTGGCGCCGGGTGAAGTTCTCCAGCCGTTCCTCCCAGCGCTCCTTCGTCTCGCGCTCCGTGGGCAGCTCGATGGCCGAGAAGACGGCRGCTCCGCACAGCATGTACAGCACGATCAGCACCGCCAGCAGGAGGAACCGCGCGTTGTCCGCGTTCAGGCGACCCGYGCTGGAGCAGCAGCAGCCGCCGCGACACGCCATCCTCCGCCCGCGGGACCGGGCTGCCGCGCCGCCACGCTACGTCGGGGCCCTGCTGCCGCCGCCGGGCATCACGGCGCCGCCCGCCAGCCGTATGCGGGGCTCAGGGCGCCGCGGCGCCCGGCGGCGGCGACCCGTGCTCCCGGGAGCCGGCTGGTCCCTTCGCCCCGGGGGCAGGGCGCGGCCCCGCCGCACCGGGCAAGGCCCCGCAGCAGACGCGCTTCGGGCTGCGGAGCATCCTGAGGGCAAGGGGGCCGCCCGTCCCGTCCCTTCCCGTCTCGCAGAGCCCCTCAGTCCCACCGCTCGCTGCGCGGGGCTCCCGTCTCCTCCAGTTTCATACCCCCTTCCTGCCCCCGCCCCGAGCACGTCGGAGCGGGGCGCAGGGACAGGCATCGCCAGGCGCCTCCTGCCTGCCGGAGGGGGGGCGAGGCGGGACCGGCGGCCGCTCGCCCCCCGCCCTTACCGGCGGGGCTCCGCCGCCCGGTGCCGCGGGCCGCCCTCACCATGGCCTCCGAGGAACGGCGGGCCGGCCCGGGCCGCGCCCCCGAGGGCAGCTCTMCCCAGCAGAGGCGCCGCGGCCCCCGAAGCTCAGCGCCGGCAGCTGGCAGGGCGGGCTGGGGGAGGGCGGCTGCCCCGCGACCTCAGCCCTCAGAGGGGCGGTGACCTGCCCCCCTTCCCGCCCTCAGGTACCCGGCRCCGGGCTGTGGGGCCGAGGAGCGCCCAGGCAATGGAGTCTCTTACAGAGGCCGGCCGTGAAACCCCTTAGTCGATGATATGCCCCTATTATCCAAGCCATAAAAATTACCGCCCTTCGCCAAAAGAGGGCATCTCCTGCTCTGCAGGTCTGGTTACGCACCGCCTTGCCGAAAAGGCGTTAGATCTCCGTCCTTCAGCGCACGGCAGCCGAAGGGAAACGGCGTAGGGAAGACAGAAGCAGCTCTCCAGCTGTAACGTGGTTTAAAAATGCGTTATTTGCAAGTTCAAAGAGCAAAGCTCTCGATCCAAATCTTCTGGAAATATCCTTCTCACTATAAGTAGAAAAAGTTAAACTCAGCAATATCTGGTAGTTGTTACAGTGCTGAATTCTACTTTTAAACAATTGGGGGCTGGAATTCAGGTGTGCTAAATATAATAGTTCTATACAAGCGGATTCTTTCCAGTGAAAGACAACCTGCATATCTTTTTTTAAGAACACAGGTTAATGAGTYATAACATCTACTTCTTGTCCCCCCACATTCCCAATTTTCTACTAATTGTGTTGCAGTCAAAATGCAATGGGAATGAACACTGATATCAATTAGAAATCTCCCTTAATAGTGGATAATTGTACACTCAGTTAAGAGCCACTGACGGTCTCACAGCCTGAGATATATTTGGGTTCTGGTATGAGCCCCAAGGGTGCACTGTGGGCAGTTTCAATGCCACTGTTTGAGAGAAGATTACCATCTGTGTGGCAATGACTGCTGGAGCAGCAGGCACAGGGAAAACAAGTCCTTTTGTCATGTTGCAGAGCAAACCTGCAGCCAGGGATGAATGGGAGTAATGTTTTGTTTTTTCCTATTTGKTATTATTCATAGGTGATAGGGTGATCTATCATATTGCAGGATTTTATTCCCTCTTAACTAGTCTTCAGCATAGACTTTAACATGGAAATTAAAATTAGCAACAATACAGTAAAATGTTAAATAGCCAAAAATAGGAAGATGAGATGCATWCCAAACTAACCAGACTCTGTGCCAAGATCTAAAGGTAACCACATACTTACATAAAAAAATGCTGGTGTATCTTTAAAATTATTGACAGTTTTTATTAGAGGGGAAAAGAAACCAACCCAGCATATACTTCCTTGCTTTGCCAGTCAGCAAAAAGGCAGAACTCAATCAGCGCACTCCCAACCAGCACAGGCAGAACTGACCGAGCGCCCTCTGTCCACACCAATGGCTCCATCCATTGAAGCTGGTCAAGGGTTGTTTGGATCAGCGCAGTGGGGAAAAGACAYTTTAGCTGCTTACAACCACGATGTCAATGTGATTGCCCAAAGACAAGTAACAATCACACTATCCAAAGGATTGTCCAAGGCAAATTATACAAGGTTATCCTTACATACAAACTATTTTGTTAGTGTGGAACAGTTATTTTTGTGTTTCTCTCAGGCATAGTTATTACATTAATGCAGGTAAGATCATCTGGCACAGTTTTGAAAGACAAGTGTACTACTGTCACTGGTCATAAAAAATTGCAAATTCCCTTGATTTGTCAAATTTTACCTTGGCAGTGATTTAATCATCTCCTGAGAAAGCAGCTTTTAAGGATATGCYCCCTCTTAAAGGATAGAACAAGAGCAAGTTGGTACTGACAGGAATCTTGAAAATGAGAATATGGCTGACAAGTATCAAAGGTGTCACACCTTTTATTGTTCTAAGCTTTTTTTCTTCCATTATTTCCCCTGTTTTAATTAAGGTACTTTCTTGTAAAACAGGTCACCATTCCCACTGCTCTTGSGTAAATTGCTGGAAAAACTGGAGTGTGTGGAGAGCATGAACAGTGCAATGAGAGTCATCCGTTCAGAATATTTAAGCAAGGTTGAATAAAGAAACAATGTGTTCACCGGCACAAGCAAAAAAAGACAAATAACTTTAAGTTTCAGGTAAAAAAAAATGGTTTAACACGTTGCTGACATTTMAATTAACCCCACATCAAAGTTAACATCTTGTGAGCCTGAAGCAATGCCATTAACCMCAGTACAGTCACTTGTGCATCATTATCAGGAAACCCGCTGTGTTTTCCCCACCCCTCAGCACCAGAAGCACACAGCTCCCTGGTGTCTGTGTGGAGGCATTTAGTGACAACAGATTAGTGGTGGTGAAGCTTAGCACAATTGTAAAATAATAGGAAAAAAAAAAAATCAATGCATTCATTTACCAGTTCTGCTGATAGTGTGGAATGACAACCCTATAATTAAGAAAGCTACAGTCACTGACTACCCTAATAATGATTACTAACAAGTGTCTGGTCAGAATAGAATTATTATTAATGCACCATCAAATTACTTGGAACACTCATGCAGAGGTTTGGTTACTCTCATTGACAGTGTCTCATTACAAAGTACTAAGATCTCCTTTGAAAGTGATTAGCTGGTACATTTAACTAAAACTCACTGCTTATCTTTGGTGAAGCTATGGAATTGCTGCAATTTACTCCTGAGCAAACTTTATACATAATGTAATATCCTGATTGAGAACCAAAAAAATCAGCCTTTCATTACCTTTGATACTGAACAAGAAGAATTCTAACAAATGATGCTAACAACTAATCGGAAAAAAAAGAGAATACAAATACAAAACTTCATGAACATGTAAAACATGACATCTAGCGTAGGCTAAACTTTTCCAAATCCCTGCTGCAAGAAGTTTCTAACAAACTGSATCTTTGGGAGATTGTCCCCCTGAATGTGAAGTAGGGAATCATAGAAGTATTTAAGATCATTTAGTCCAAACATTAATGTAACACTACCAAGCCGACCACCTAACCCATATCTCTAAGTGCTACATCCACGCATCTCTTAATACCACCGGGGATGGTGACTCCACCACCTCCCTGGACAGCCTGTTCCAATGTCTGACAATCCTCCCTGAAGAATTTTCCCCTAATATCCAGYCTAAACCTTCTGTGGCCAAACCTAAGGCTCCTCTTGTCTCCTTGCTTGTTACCAGGGAGAAGAGGCTGATCCCCACCTGGCCACAACCTCCTTGCAGGTAGTTGTAGAGAGCAGTAAGATCTCCCTTGAGACTCCTTTTCTCCAGGCTGGACATTCCTAGCTYCTCCAGTTGCTCCTCATAAGACTTGTGCTCCAGACCCTTCGCCAGTGTCACCRCCCTTCTCTGGACACGCTCCAGCCCCTCAATGTCTTTCTTGGCATGAAGGACCCAAAACTGGACACAGCACTCAAGATGTGGCCTCACCAGTGCCCAGTACAGGGGGACAATCACTGCCCTGGTCCTGCAGGCCACACTATTGCTGATACAAGGAGTGTGTTCCATTAATGGGATATTGTYGATTTTATAAAACACCTAGTAGTACACTTGCAAGATACAAATCCCAACCCAGTCTGAAATGTACACATTTAGAAGACAGKACAAAGGATATATTAACAAGATTGCCTTTATTTTCATTTAAATTTTACATATAGTAACTTTTATTCCAGCTACAGGGGTCAACTGMCAGTCTCACAGAACAGTAATTTTTAAATTAATTACAGCTAAAAATGCAGAGACTCTCTGAGAGCAGTTCTCATCTTGAAAACCGTATTAGGAACCACAGTAAAGAAAAAGCATATAAAAAGGTATTCAAAAATGCAGGTTCACTTGTACTAAAATGGTTATTGATTCACCAAGAACTCTCCCTTATTAACATTTTAACGTTTTTTTCAAGTACAAATTAGTCATTATAGCAGACATTATAGCTAACAGAACAAAAATACAGTTTTGCAAGCATCATGGCAGGCTCAGTTCCAGCATGTGGAACATCACAGAGTACTGGAAACATTCATGATGGAACCCACATATTTCCATGTGTATCAGGGGCATCAGTGTAAGGAATATTCCAAATCCATGGCTGATCTGTAAACCAAAACAAAACCATRCTTATGACAAATTCATTTATGAAATGCAAAATTTCAATTCTCTTCCTCTTTTCCCTTTGGAGGAAGAGGAAGGTCAGAATTCCTACTGATTTTCAGATAACAGCATGTGCAATTTCAGTTTAGTAGAAATTTTTTTTCAGCTTTTTTTAAAAACTGTAAGATACGGAGTTTTCAAAAGGCCTTGCTTTCCCCTCAAATATTTTAAATATAGTTATAACCCAACATGCTCCTCACCAGCTGTATAAGAATTATATTTCAGACAAGATACAAGAACAGTAATGCAGGAAAATGTGGTTTGGCCCAGTGCCAGCAAGTTTTGTGCTGCATCTCTTAACCCAGTGGAATTCTAAATAAGCACTAAATATTTTAAAAAATATTAATTAACGTACTAATATTTTT